GAATTTTTCAGATTTTGAATGGACATAAGATAAAAAATATACCAAAATTGATTGGATAATAAAATTGCACAACAACGATAAGAAATGATTGTCACTTAGCCATATCCATTATGCAAGTGGCTGAAAGTCCGAAACTCAAGTCTGTTGGAGAATGTGTCGTATGGATCGATTTTTTAAGTTCATGTTCTGTCAATAAGACCAACTCACTTTACTTTATACTGAGAATGATTGGATAGTGTATTTTTTATATAAAAAAAAAGCGAAAATTATTGCAGACGAACATCTTTCGCACCATGACAGACATTTCTATCTCCCTCCCGGCCAAGCGCAGGCGCGGCCGCCCGCGCAAGGACGCTAACCTCCCCCGAGACAGCACCTTACACGCTCACCCGACCCCCAATTCCGGCCTCTCTTACAACACCCAAGAAGCCGCCACCCCAAACCCTATGATCGGGAGTTTGATTTACGGCGTGATCGAGGGCTCCTTCGACGCTGGCTACCTCATATCCGTCAAAATCGGCAATGGTGGGGCCCCTTTTCGCGGGGTAGTCTTCCAGCCTAGGAAATTTGTTCCCATAACGCCCCTGAACGATGTGGCCCCACACGCTCACATGTACCAGAGACAAAAGATTTCGGCGGGCCCACTCCCCGATTATAATAATAATCATCCTCGTTTTTTCCCTCCTTCGAAACAGACGGTTTTTCGGCCGAATTTACAGTCCTTTGGGAACCAACCGCCTTTCGTCTCGTCCAATAATAATACCATGATGTCTCCAAGGAGTGGGACCAATCAGCAGCGGCCACCTGTCGGTTTCACAAATTGTATGCAGGGACCCATGTTCGATGTTCTTCGTCCTAGGGCGGAGGAAGTGAAAGCTGATCTGCAGCTAGAGAATATGTATTACGATGGCCCGAACGTTACTTTTCATCACGATCAGTCTCGGCCCGATTACAGGCGTTTAGGGCCCGAACATCATAGTACTGAGTTTTCTGAACAAGTCACCAAGGGCCCAAATCTGAAGTTGAACCTGTTGTCTTCCCCAGTTGAGGAAAAGAATTATTTGATCCACAACGAGATGAAAAGCCCGAATCTTGGCTATCATCATGCGCTTGTGTCGGGAAATCCGCTCTTTCTGCCTCCAGAGTTTAATGGCGAGCCTTTGGATTTTATGGTGGGAAAGAATCTAACCCAAATGAATACTGGGGCTGGACAGGAGACGAGTAATGAGGCTGCAAGTTCGCATTCTGGGCCGTACGTGCTGGAGCTTGCTACTCCACAGCCCATAATCAACATGAGGCCAAATTCGTCTGTTGGCTGCATTACTGATATGGATTTTGTTCTGAGTGACTCGGTTCAGCCTTCGGAACATCGTCATGAACATCATGGGGAGTTTTCTGAAAATAAGCAATGATGGCAATTGGTGTCACTAATGAAGACATGGATGGATCATATGCGGCTGATGATTGTGGGGTTATATATATGTCAAGGGATTATTTCTGCGAATAATCCAACCAAGATTTTGTTGTCATTGTAGGATATGTTCTGATGAGATTGGGAAATTGGTCTTCTTTTTTTGTTTTGGTTTTCTGTTGCCTTCTCTTTCCCTTTTTTGTTCTCTTGTTNAAAAGAAGTACAAGCAATCAAATGATTACATACGATGATCTAGTTAGAGCAACTAGAACAAAGCAAGGGGAGAGAGCACCTTCTCCCTCAAAGGCTAAAGTATCCTGCACAACTAAAACTAACATCAAACACAAACAAACCAAGATTAACAACCAATCGAACTAAGACTAAAGAAAAAAACACACCTAAATCAAGTAAAAAGCATAAATCATCCACATGAGCTCTGTTCTTGGCGGAAATCTCTAAGTTGTTGATCAGTGCATGAGCTACATTTCCATTGTTGAGATAGAACTTGATTGAAGTCCATCCCATGTCCTTTTCTTTCAAAATAGCTCATCTGACAGCCAGAATTAGAGTTTTCTCTATATTCCAATCACCAGCAATCACCTTCTGCCAACTGAGCCTATTCCTTTCAGCATCTTCTGCCAAACATTGCAACAACATTACTCCTTCAACACATATCAGAGCACTGACAGCCAAAGTCTGTCATACCCTCTTAGAAAAATTATTTGTCGAAGCAGTATCCTTTAAAAAGCCAACCTCAGCAGTGCCACAATTCTCTTTCAGAGATATCCACTCCAGCCATTCACTCTTTGCTTCCTCAACCACATCACTTTCATGGATCTAATCACTTTTTAAAAGCCATTTGTTTCTGGCTTTTCAAATCCTCCACATCACATAGATAGACAAATGAACCCTTTCTTCCATACAGTTATTTTTGGCGGAAGTAAATACCTCTAACCACCAACTCTGAAAGTTCATGTTCTCCTCTTCAAGCAGCACCCAGGAGATCCAACTAAGTTTCCAACAGATTTTTGCTCTTGAGCATTTGAATAAGATGTGAATTATGTCTTCCTCTTCTTCTCACACATTTGACAAACAACATCTGTATCAATCCATTTCCTAATCAATTGAGCCTTTGAGCTAACAAAGTTATGCCGGCACCGCCACAAGAAAGTCTTCAGTTTTCTTTTGATGGGTATTTTCCAAGTATTTCTCCACATTCTCTTGATGGTTTCAGCACTTTGACTGGAGCTTGCTTGAGAAGATTATGCAACTGTGGCTGCCACAATAGCCTTGTACACTTCCTTAGTTAAGAAAGTCCCATTCCTGCTTCCAATGCCATATCACTTTATCCTTCATCCCAGAGTTAGTGAGAGGGATGTTAACTAATACCTTACTATAAATATTAAATTTTAAATAATCATTATATTTAATTATAATAATTAGTTATTTATACAATATATTTTATCTTCTATATGCTTTATATAAATTTATCAGTATATATAACGACTTTGCCCATGCCCCGCCCGCCTTATAAAGTCAATTCTCTCTTTCCTGTCACCGTCTTTTGCCCCAACTTGCCGCCGATCACCGCCGCCTCCGCCGTCTAGGACCCCAAAATCCAGCTGGAAGTGCAAGATGGACATAATATCTCAATTGCAGGAGCAAGTGAACACAATAGCAGCTCTATCGTTCAACACCTTCGGAACACTTCAAAGAGACGCACCTCCGGTTCAGTTATCTCCAAATTATCCGGAGCCTCCGCCTGCAAATTCCAATGGTAATGGAGTCGAGGAGTCGACCAATCTCGCGGAGCAGCCCAAGATTCTCAGTTCCGAACTGGTGAAAGCTGCCAAGCAGGTTCAATTTTGATTTCTTGACTTTTTGTTTCGTTTTTTTTTTTTTTTGTTTGAAAATTTTTTATGCATCATAGTTGAGGTAGAATTCTAACCTAGAATTGTTAATTCGATTTCCAATCATGGGTCTGGTGATCGTTCCATCTAATAGGAAAAAGGGGGATTAATTAGCTCTAGCCGGTTTTTCTTATAGCTGGATTGCACTTTCATATTTGCAGCAGAAAGCATAACGATTGTAAAGACCTGATATATTGTTGAATGGATAATATCCAAACATAATTGTAGTTGCTATGTTCAGTAATCAGGTTAGACAAAAGAGCACATTAGTCAGGTGTCTGGTGAGAAAAATCCCATCTTGATGATTTTCCAAGTCCTTCTCATGCCCAATTTCACAATTATCCTTTTCAACAATGAAACAATTAGGATCAACTTGGGCAGCTACAGGATTTTCTTTGGTAGTCAGCTAGAATACTGTTCGGCTAAAAATGCCTTTTGCAGTTTGATGCCTTAGTTGCGGCACTTCCACTATCGGAAGGAGGCGAAGAGGCTCAGTTGAAAAGAATTTCAGAACTTCAGGTCGAATAACATATGTGAACTTACTTTTGTATTGGTAATTTCCGTTATACTAACGAAAAGAAGATTTTTTGCAGGCTGAAAATGACGCAATTGGACAAGAACTTCAGAAGCAACTGGAAGCTGCAGGTGATTTTTTCGACTTTCTTCAAATAGAAATCATAGCCAATGGTTGGTCTCAATATTATTGCTATTAGTTTATGAGCGTGGTGTCGCTCATTTTGTCCCCCGAACACTAAGTAAAGTGCGGCTTAACCTTTGTGCTTGGTGTGTGTTAAGTGATTGGCTAAAGAAAACTAAAAGTAAAGCTCAAGAGAGTTTTCTGAAAGGCTTGTATATCACTTCACTCGAACTTGTCTTACAAGGGAGTTTAGCTTTGCTTGGATTGGATGTCTTGGCAAAATGAGGGACCCTCCTATTACAGTGGTTCCATTCCCACATGGAAAACTCTAGAATCCTTCCACCTCAAATAGAATTTTCTAGAATCTCCTGAGTGTCTTCTAAGCTTTGACTGCTGTTCGCCATCACACATCCGCTATCAGGAGCCAAGCTGGCCGCTAAGCCCCCAGATACTTAGTTGCGTTCTATTTTTACTTTTCCTTTCTTTCATAGTGCTTACCCGCGTTCTGTTTACCATGATCATTTTGTTTTTATTTTCTTTTTATGTTTCTCTTTTCAATTGTTAATTCTTGTTATTATTTTCTTTTTTCTGTTTCTCGTTTTAGTTTTTAGTTTCTGGTTTTATTTTATTTTTTCTAGCTTTATTCCTATTTGTATTTTCATTTTAAATTTCAGTATCTTTTCTATAATTTTTGCCTTTTAGTTTAGTCTGGTTTTATTTTCTATTTTGATTTTAATTTGTAGTTTCTATTTTATGTTCTTGGACTTTTAATTTATTTTAGTTTATTTTATGTTTCTGATGTTATGTTTTTTATTCTAATTTTATTTGTTTCTGTTTCTCCTTTTATACTTCTTAGAATATTTGAGGATGATTTTTTCGTTTGAAGCTGAATATGTACTTCAATTTGCCGTGCTATAGAGCTTTCTATCCAAGTGTAACCACTTCTACAATAAATTTAGCCCATTTTATACAACTCTAGGCTGTTTCGGATGCATCTATGCTATGCAAATCTCTAGTACAACAATCTGTAATAATCACAAACTTTCGAGAATACTCTTGAAGAAAAACTTAGCCTTTACATGGCCCGTGTGCGAGACACTTGGCTAGGACCAAGCTAAGTGTTGCAAAATGCGAGCAAAATCGCGGGCATTACAATAGGCATTATTTCCAAAAAAAAGAGTGATGCATATATTTACTGGTTGTTTGCAGGTCAGGCAATTCATTTAACCAATTAACTGATTTAATAACAATTCGTTAACATTGAGCATAATGCATGTTTTGTGTTTTCGGGGTGGTGGTGATACGCAATAGAAGCTAATATCATTGTGGGCTTGGCCCATTTTCACAGCTTTGACGTATCTTCTAAAATGGGCTTGGGCCCATTTTCACAGCTCTGATCTCAAACTAAACTAATTAATCTTTGTTGTGCCAGAAAAGGAGCTTAGGCAGGTTCAGGATTTGTTCAGCCAAGCAACAGATAACTGCTTCAACTTAAAGAAGCCAGATTGATGTCAATAAGAACCAACGAGTTCTTCAATTGTAAGAAATGTCGAATCTTTTTTGTATTTTTGGTATAACTTGGTATCTACTTAGTAGACATTTTAACCATGATGCTACCTTATTCTATTTCTATGCTTTTATCATGTGTCTTCTTGCAATGTATTCTAGTCCACCGTGGCTTATGAGGATTCACAAATACTTTGAAATTGGATCATATTTAGGTAATGTGCCTTGCAGTCTAATCGACAGATTTGACGCAGGTTTCACTTTTCTGGAAAATTGTTTTTTTCTCTTCATAAAATTACTTGTCGTAAGGTCAGACCCTGGTTAATGCTTATTCACTATAATCAATTTAATATTATCACAAATCATCTTCATAATTTTTCCGGTTGGTTATAGGATCATCTAAATGCTCAAACAAATAAACCGTAGTCAAATTCGGTCTATACGTGCGGTCATATTTACAATGTGTAGCAATTTATATTGTCTATTATGCCCCCCAACAAATTATAAGTTGATAAAAATCGCCAATTGATATGGTTTTCATATCAAATTAGCTTTAAAATTACAACAATCTGAGACTAGAGTATTTATCATCTTTACAACTGATTCAAAACCAAATTATGCCCCAACACTTTACGATTTTTCTTCAAGGCCTCACGATCCATATAGCATAGCGTATATATCAATGTCAAAGAATAAATCAGGCACAAATCCATAAAATTTAACATTATTATCACAATGCCAAGAAAAAAAAAACGTATACCGCAATAAATAACTGAGAACGGAGTAAGCAAATGCTTGAATCATGAAATATTCAGTATAGAACAGACGTGAAATCAACCAGAACCAGATCCATCTTTTCAGATAAGAAGTCCCAATAAAAATAAAAATAAAAAATCCAATCCAAATTAGATTCAACAAAAACTCCAGTCATCAAATTGAAAACACCATCAAGCCACCATTAATTGTACACACTCCATCACTGCTGCTAGATCATATGCAAAGACCATCCTCTCTAATAGACCAAAAGCTGCATCAACACACTCTTGTCAAAATCCCTTCACCATGTAGATCTCACTGCAAAACAGGTAACAAGTGTTAAAGAATCTTTCGAAGAACGCAAAAAGCTCAAACAGTGGGTATATAATCTATATCAAAACGGCTTCTTTATACATTCAAGTTTGGCCACATAACACATCAAGTGTATTGTGTTAAAAAACAAGCAGCATATAAGCATCAAAGGATCTGTGCAATATGAATGCTGTTGCACGCATAACTAAATCACTTCATATGGATTCACCTGAGGCTGTTGCAATATCTGCTGCTGCTGTTGTGGTTGCTGTGGGTAGCTTCCATATCCAGGATAGTTCGCATAATACATATTCGGATCCTGTGCTGCTGCTGAAGCATATCCATAGGCTTCATAACCCGAAGTGTAGCCATAATATCCACTACTACTCCATTGGTTAGGGTCAACCTGAAGCCGAAAAAGTTTAGATAGCCAAATAACAAATAAAAAATAACAAAAATCGAAGGAAGTGGGGAAAGGCGAACCTGTTTGTTTGCAGGGCTGCGGCCCCATGAGAGTCGAATGCTCTGACCTCCCAACTGGGTTCCATTTAACGCTCGTAGAGCTTCCTCAGCACAGCTTCTGTTGTTTATATATATATATATATATGACATGGATAAGGCTTCATTCTCGAGTCCTTGAAACTTAAAAGCATGGACAATAAAGTGTAGGATTCTTGCTTTACCTGTCAGCAAATTGAACAAAACCACATCGTTTGCCCATGGGTATCTTTACATGAAGTAACTGTCCATGTTGTCCAAACAACTGCCTGAGATGTTCATCTGTGATATTGGAGTCCAAATTCCCTACAAAGATCTGGAGAGGGAAAACTCAAAATAGTGAAAGTCCGTCTTTTTTTTTTTTTTTTTTTTTTTTTTTTTTNAGAAAATAAGAAAATGATTTTCGATGAATTTACTAACAGTTGTGTTCGATGGATCATCCTCACTTGGCGTCCCTTGAGAAGTCGGGTATGAGGCTGCAATGTTAACAGATGAGTTGAGGGGAAAGAACCGAGCCAAAGTAATATACTGCTGGGATACATGTATTATCAAAAGCAAATGAAGTCTACACTCAGTTCAGAAGCTATCTTAGCAAATAAATCGTGCAACTATAAGTTTTAGAAATCCTCCAAAATCATGTAGGTGGGATAAAATCATAAATAGACACTTCTTACCATTGCTGGACCTGGACAAATAAGAGAGAAATATGCGTAGGCAAAAAGAAGTGCAGGAAATAAGATCAATGTAAAGCCCCATCCCCGAAAAGAGACATGTAACCAGTAACAACACTGATTGTGCAAGTTTAATATATAATTGAGTCTATCAGTCCACTACAGCAAAACATTAGAAACTAAAATATAATAAAATTTAATCTGTTCGCCAGTAAAAGTTTGCAGAAACAAAGAAACGAATATTTCCACCTAATAATGGGTTAGAGGCTTGGAAAGGAAAACGAAAACCAGAGTGATGAAAAAATCAAAGCAACCCAAAAGAGTATATTTTACCACTTATCCTCTTAATAATAATGGATAAAAGCACGGAAAGTAACCGGATGACAGAACATTGAAAAAAGAACTCAACCACGGACTCCAATTTAACCAATTGTATAAAATAATGCTTGCCGCACAAACCACTGAAACCTGTGCACTTTAATCAGTTTAACTGACCTTTGGTCATCACCTACTCTCCATGGTGAGCTTCTCTAACAGGAATAGATCCAATGATAAGTAATTGGATAATAATCGGATGGGAAAAAAGAAAACCAAATAATTATCTAAAGGCGCAAAGGGAAGTGTTGCATGGAAATACAACGTCGGTATTGCGGGCAAATTTAAAACTAGGTATTTAAAAAGAAAAATAAACGGGCATGAATAACGAGGAAATTTAACTTGAAAGAGAGCTTAGAAAGTAAAAGGACTGGTGGAAGAAAACAAACTGATATTCTTCGAATAATGCCTCAACGAACCATAAAGTAAGAAACATTAAATTAAAACTGACCTACACAAGACCAGGCACTAAAAGGGTTATCATTTCAGCTGAATTTTGGCTCCAGGCCCAAATATGTTAGAGCCTCCTGACACCCTGCTTTGAGACAATTGGCGATTTTTATGAGATTATGCAAGTTTTTAACACTTTCAGAACCTAAAACTGTTACAAGTGCTGGAAGGTAACGATGTTGTAATTCTTGCTTATCTTCAAGAAATCAAAGAAAGCATCTTAAAACATTGATCAACCTATACTCCAAATATTCCAAAAACTAAAGCCACCAAAGCATTGGAACTGCCAAATTAAAATCACAGCAGCATAACACATGAGGAGATTAGAACCAAACCACGAAATTTTCTGCTTGAAAAACCATCTAAAAAGCTGTAAGCACTTAGGATACCTTTTGTCTGACCACCCATTTTTTGTTTGTTGGCAGCTGGACCAATTCGCATAGGCCTAGTGGAACATAATCTCCCATTCATCTCAGTCATGGCACGTAATTGTTCACTTTCATCACCAAACTTCACAAAACCATAGCCCTTGGGGTGTCCTGTTATTCTATCCGTGACAACCTTGGCACCCTTTACTGAAGGATAATTGGCTCTGAAAGCCTCCTGAAGCATGTAATCAGTTACATCAGCAGCCAGATCTCCAACAAATATGGTGTACTCAGGAGCATCATCACGCTTTTCCCCAGCTCCCATGGATGCCCAGTTCAATCTGAAGGTTTGTTCGACATTTGGCATTAAGCTGCCATTGTATGTCTGCAGGTTCCTCTCTGCAGCAGCATGACTAACAAACTCAATGAATCCATAACCTTCTGATTGGCCAGTTTGCTTGTTACGGATAACTTTAGCATTCACTACCTAAAGAAATAAAGAGGTAATATGATCTCAGCTTACAAAAGTAAACCAACACAATCTAACAACTAACTTCATATAAAACAAAGCAGGAATACAGAAGTTATAAAATCACATTTGATAGCATTCATGCCTACAACACATTGGAAAAGGTAAATTCCCCAACTTATTGTCAAAGCCAAAACATAAAAAACAAACGTTTTGAGAACCTGTACTGATAAACAATATCCAAGTAAGCAATCATAAGATATAATATAAGATATAATGAGGAGTGCACCATAATAAAATCCACATCATACAATCTAGTAAATAACACTGCTTTACAACCTGAAAACCATAGGCAATGAGGCAACAAATTCCAAGACAGCAATCATAATGACACAATATCAGGAGACGTAGAGAAGGAGTGAGAAAAAAAATTAAGGTCAATCGAATTCTCAAAAATCGCCAAGTCATCAACTTTTATATGGACCGTGCAAATTTACCTCCCGGGTGGTCGCAAAACAGTTGTACAAATACTGCTCGTCCATCCAGTATTGCAGATCTCCAATCCACAGGCTCCGGATCCCATCATCCGCTATCGGCTGAGCCTGAGCCGTTGGCGCGGCGGCGTACGGATGCGGCGGGACGGCGCCTGGCTGCTGATAATAATACCCGGCGGCGGGCGGCTGCTGAGGTGGATGAACCTGGTACGGGGGTTGCTGAGGGTGCTGCCCCATCCAAGGTTGAGATGGCTGCTGCGGCGGTTGTTGCTGGTACGGAGGTGGGGCCATCGGAGGGGGGACCATGGTGGCTGCCGGTTGCATCATCGTCGGAACCCTAGATTTGTTGGTGGGGATAGTGTTGGCTGTTGGGGCGTGGATAAGCAGTGCCCTAATTAGGGTTGTGAGTCCTGAGAGGAAGAGAGAGACCAAAAATAACAGAAATTGTGTAATTATTGATTTTGACGATTATTAATCAAACGGAAAATACCAATAATGCCCCCTTGACCAGAGGTTTTTTTGCCATGGAACCGAAAACTGTGGCTCTTTCTGTAAGTCGCTACTAATTTACGAAAAAGAAAAATGAAAAATAAATTTGTACAAAAAAAAAAGAAAAATAAATGCTTATATCATAGTTTTTAAACCTGACCAACACCCGGGCAAATCTCTGAGTCAGCGAGTTACCGGTTCAACTACTGTATCATAGGTCAATTGTTGGGTCAAATTAATTTTAAATTTTTAAAATTAGATATAATATTTTTGTTATATAAATAAATATACATAAAAAATAATAGAAACAAATGTTTCTTGTATGAATTTTATAAATCAGTGTTGATAAAAATATATATTATAATAAATTAATGTTGACGGTAGACGTCTGTCATAATAATAAGGCAGCTAATCGTGGACTTAGGTCATCCGCAACGGTGTGTTAATTTGGCCCGTTTAAACGCCCTACTGCCGTTCATTGCATTGTGGCCATTCATTAAATGGTAGGCCCCCACTTGTCCGTTCAATTGAATGAACGGCACTTTTGTGCCTTGTTTTTTCTTTCATTTATTTTTACTGCACTTTGAGTGTTTTTTTTTTGTTCTCATTTAATTTTAATCATTTTTTTTCTTTTAATATTTATATATTTTAATTCATTTTATTTTTAATGCACTTTAGGTGACTTTTTTTGTTTTCATTTAATTTTAATTCATTTTTTCTTTTTATATATTTAATTATTTTTTTCTTTTCTTCTTGTAGTGTTCTTTTATTTTCGTGCATTTAAAATTTATTATTATAATTTAAAAATATTAAATTTTTATTTTTATTGAGAATAAAATATTAAAATTTATATTGAATGAGTGGATAATGGGTCCCATATATGTATTTAAATGAATGTGTAGGGATGTGGCCATGTGGGTGTGTGTTTAAATGGAGAGAGAATTAGTGAAAATATGATGTGGATGAGAGAGAATGTAACTTTTTGATAGAATGAATGGAAAAAATGTTAAACCAATGCAGATGCCCTTATGGGGAATATGATGGTAAGAGTTGTTGTCGACCAAAAGTTGACGCAACGAAAAAGAATAATTTAAATTGTACAAAAAAAAAAATTGTTGTAAATGTCGAACAATAATTATGCTTGGTCTTTTTCCTTTTATTTGTTTAGGAGAGAATGTTCTCCTGTAATATGATAAATCGGGAACAAAAAGAAGAAAGAACAGTAGAGAGAGAAAAGAGAAAGAAACGTCTGAATTGGCAAATGAACGAATGAATAGGTAATAGGGTTTACATGTGATATTTATACTATGTGATGTCTACTAAAGTTGCTATTGTACAGAGATAACTAAGTGCTAAATAGATGAAAATACACTTTTTAATGTAAAAGACTAATATGGCCTCTATATGTTGTTACCCACCCCCCTCCCCCCTCGGCAAGAGTAGCATGTATATTAGGCATGCTAATCTTGGAGAGGAGATTCTGAAATGTAGGTCCAGGGAGAGGTTTGGTGAGGAAGTCTACCAGCTGATCCTTTGTGGAGATGTAATGGAGCTCAATGAGACCCTTTGCTATCTTCTCTCGAACCAAGTGGCAGTCTAGTTCAATATGTTTGGTCCTTTCATGAAAAACAGGGTTTGATGCCATTGCTAGAGCAGACTTACTATCTGTGAACAGTGAAACAGGGCAAGTAAGAGGAAAACCAAGTTCATGACATAAAGAGTGTAACCATTGAATCTCACAACTAGTGTATGCAAGTGCTCTGTACTCTGCTTCAGTAGAGGACTTGCTCACTGTTGGTTGTTTCTTGGATTTCCATGAAATAAGTGAGTTTCCAAGAAAAATAAGATAACCAGATATGCTTTTCTTTGTGTTAATACATGAGGCCCAGTCACTATCAGAATAAGCTGAAAAATTTAAAGAAGAACTCTTATGGAATAAAATACCCTTACCAATTGTGTTCTTCACATACCTGAGGACCCTGTAGGCTGAATTCAGGTGAGTTTGTGTGGGTTGTGACATAAACTGGCTTAATGATTGGACTGAATAAGCAATGTCAGGCCTGCTTATAGTTAAATAAAGTAATCTAATCACTAATCTTCTGTAAACAGTTGGATCAGATAGGTGTTCAGTTTCAGCATTGTTATTAGTAAGTTTCAAAGTGGATTCCATGGGAGTTAATGCAGGTTTGCAGCCTATCATACCAGAATCAGTCAAGATATCCATAGCATATTTCCTTTGACACATGTGTATGCCTTGGTCTGAGTGAGCAAACTCAAGGCCAAGTATGTACTTAAGCTTACCAAGATCCTTAATAGTAAAACATGCATCCAAATGAGATTTAATAGCAAATATATGATCAAAATTGTTGCCAGTGACAATAATGTCATCTACATAAACAAGTAAAATAGTTGTAGAATCAGACTTATGCATGTAGAACAGGGAGCAGTCAGCAATGGATTGTGTGAATCCATAAAGAAGTAAACAACTGGTCAACTTTTGAAACCACTGTCTTGAGGTCTGTTTAAGGCCATAAAGACTTTTTGTTAATTTGCAAACAAGTTTGTTATTTGGAAGAATATAACCAGGAGGTGGTTTCATGTAGACTTCTTCATTTAATTCTCCATGTAAGAAAGTATTATTGACATCTAACTGTTCTATATGCCAATGTTTTAAAGCAGCTAAAGCAACAATAAATCTGACAGTAGTGATTTTAGCTACAGGTGAGAAAGTGGCAAAATAGTCTATACCCTCTTCTTGGGTATAGCCTTTTGCCACTAGTCTAGCCTTGTATCTCTCAATTGTACCATCAGATTTGAACTTTACCTTGTATACCCATTTGCAGCCAATGCAATGCTTACCTTTAGGAAGTTCAGTTAGTAGCCAGGTACTATTCTTTTTCAATGCCTGAATTTCTTTGTTCATTGCCTCTTGCCAAAGAGGATCAGTATTGGCTTGAGCAAAGGTTTTAGGTTCAACAACAGTAGTAATAGAAGCAGTGAAACAACTATGAGATGAAGAGAGTTAAGAAGTGGACAAGAAATTGGAAATGGGATATTGTGATGTACCAGATGTATCTGAAAGTGTATTCACATAATTTGAAGAAGGATTTTTCAAAGAATGGTGATAAATATCCAGGTAAGGTGGTAATTTGTGAGGTCTGGTTGATACTCTCCTTTGAATAGGGGAGGAATGTGGAGGTTGACTGATAGGTGAAGTCTGATGGTTTTCATTTATAGTGACTGAATCTGTTTGGGGGTTGTTGTTAACAGGTTGTGGTGAAATGTGGTTGGTAGTAGGTTGTGATACATTTTGTATAGGAGGTTGAGATTGTAATGGTGAGTTGAAATGTATGAGATCAGGGGATGGGGTAGGAAACATAGGTGAATTGTCATTTTGGGAATTGTTTTTAAAAAGGAATACACTTTCATAAAAGATAACATTTCTGGATATAATTGTTTTCTTTGGTTTCCAGATTGTAAAGAGTATGGCCTTTACAACCTAAGGGATAACCAAGAAGAATGCATTTTGATGCCATTGGATCAAATTTATGTCTATGTGCGTGCAATGTTGATGCATAACAAAGGCAGCCTATAACTCTCATGTGATCATATGAAGGAGATCTGTTGTAAAACATCTCAAAAGGTGATTTATTGTGTAAAACATGAGATGGTATTCTTTTGATAATATGAACTGCACTAAGGATGCAATCAATCCAAAATTTCAGAGGTAAATGTGCATGAAAAAGGATTGCTCGAGCAACTTGTAGAATATGCTGATGTTTTCTTTCTACTCGAGCATTTTGTTGAGGTGTTTCAACACAAGACTTTTGATGTAGGATTCCAAATTTTGTATAAAAGTCATGTAAAATGAATTCAGAACCATTGTATGTTCTTATGGTTTTGATTTTCCTTTCAAACTGAGTTAGCACCATCTTATAAAAATTGTTTAAGCAATTGTTGGTGTCTGATTTGTGAGTGAGAGGGTAAGGTGAGCAATTTAGAATTTGACAGATGTCCAAGTCTATGATGCCATATGAGATTATCAGTCTTTGAAACATTTACAGGTAAAGGAAAAATTACATCATCAGCATTTACAGAGGTATTATCAACAGCATGATCATGAGGAACAGGGACATGATTGGTTACAAGTGCTGTTAAAACAGATGGTTTATTGTCAGTCTTAAGATGATATAATCCATCTTTGAGGTCAGCAAAACCAATCATTTTGTGACTTGTCAGGTCCTGTAATATGCAAGAAGATGACAAGAATTTGACAATACAATTATTTGATGCAGCCAACTTTGAAACAGAAACCAGATTAAAGGAAAATGATAGAACATACAATGCATCATGTAACACCAGAGAATCAGATAAAATAACAGTTCCACTACTATGAGCATTAGTATGATTGCCATTTGGAAGATTTATTCTAGTATTAATATGAGAGGCAGGACTAGAATATAAATCAAGAGAGCAAATCATATGATCAGTAGCTTCTGTGTCAAGTATCCAAGTGTTATGAGATAAAGACTTGGAAGCTAAGCATGATAAGGGTGTAGGTATACCTGAATGCTCAGTAAATGCAGTTGCAACCACATGAGTAGAAGAAACTTGTTGAGTTGACTCCTGTGATTTCTTAAAAGCCAAAAACTCAGTAAACAAACTGTTAGTAATGGAATTATCAGCCTCATTCGCATGTTGATTCTCAAATATAGCAGCATAAGCAGATGAGTTTGATCGAGGTCCCTTTGGACCAATCCAATTGGCCGGGTAACCAACTAGTTGATAACATCTTTCAGTAGTATGACCCAGACGACCACAGTGAGAACATGTAGGTCTAGGTTTGTCTTTGTTAAAAGGTTGTTTAGGTTTGTTATAGGCAGGAGGATGAGAAGATGTTTTGGCTATCATGGCAAGTGGTTCAAAATGTTTAGTGGTGTTTGTCAAGGTTCTTTGACTCTCTTCCTGAAGTAACAGGGAATAGACTTTGGTAAGGGAATGCAAAGGATTAGAAAGCAAAAAATGACTCCTCAGGGAAGAATAAGAATCATTCAGTCCTATTAAAAA